TAAGTTGTCCTACTCTAGAATATGCAGATCTAGAAGCCAGAACTTGGTATTTTGAATTTGTTTTATTATCACTTTCATATTTAGTAAACCTTTAACGAATATTTGATTAAGAAACTCAACGATTTCAAAGCGAGGAATGGCAACAGTATGTACGAAGAAAATATTTTTACCTAAATGTGAGACTGTGTATCGAAAATTCTAAAGATATGATCGTTTTAAATTTATTTTGAGATATTACTGTTGAAATGAAGTTTATGGTTTAATTCCGAAGAATATTATATTTAATAAATAAAGGTAACGCATAAAACGTTAAATAAAAACGACTCTTTGGCCGTAATATGAAATCTGAAAGCTTTATAAGGTGTTTCTCTCGCCTACCTAGCGTGCTTTCGTCGTGTAGTGGTTCTGGACACTGGGCCGGTATGTCAGTGGTCCATGGTTCGATTCCTGGCGAAGGCTATTGCTCAATTGTTATCTTTCCTGCTTCCACAAAAATACCTAATGTCTCTACAGTGTCGCCAGAACTAAAAGCGTGATGGATGATGAGTCTCCACACCCAGGATTTGGCGATTGGGACCCCTAAAAACTCCAGTCGCCCTTTAAAAGGGGGAGTATATAAGGTGCTTCTCCCGCCGTCCTAGCGTGCCTTCGTGGTGTAGCGGTTCTGCACGCTGGGCCTGTATTCTAGAGGTCTATGGTTCGATTCTCGGCGAAGGCGATTGCTCATTTTTCATCTTTCCTGCTTCCAAAAAAAATTACCTAATATCTCTAAAGCATTGAGATTTTTTTTAAATTTTATTTTTAAAAATTTTATTTGATATTGTTACCAATTTTGAATTTAGTTAGGTATTTAAGGCAGAATTAAAATGTAAATTGTTTTAATTTTTATTTAAAACAGTTGCTATGGTAACAATTTTCCAAAAAAACAAAACAATATTCAACAGTGAAATTACGCAATATTTCACAACAGCATATGTTTAGAATTCCCTGTACAGTATGGGGTACAATTTTTAATATTCGCTTTAATATTTCTTTAAAAACAATACATGGTGATAGCAACATCCTTTCAACTGGAAACGGATTCGGACAAAAATGTGAGAAACGAGACTAATAGCATCTCTGATGCTGTTATAGCAGTTATAGGTGGTTATAATAAACAAAAATTTCATCGAAATTATTTTCTATTCACTAAAATTTCAGGTATTTAATACTACAAATAAGGGAATTTTTTTTTTTTTTTTTTTTTTTTTTTAAATTTACAAGTCATTCAAGTACTTTTCTGTGCAGAATATAAAAAAATAAAACGACAGCGAGAAAATCATAAAATCATACATTTGCATTACATTAATAACAATCGTCATTAAAGGTAAAGTTGCAATATAAGAATGCCCAGCTGTTATTAATCATGTCACATAGTTTCAGTTATGATTTAGATGAAGACCAGGTATGGTGAATGGTTATTGAAGCATACATAACCTCTTTAGATACCTGAATATAGAAAATCAGGAGACCAAACATCTGAAACCAATTTTTAAGCTTTGGAATACTAATAATTTTACTAGTAAACCATCTGACAAAAACTATATATAGCACCTAAAGAACATTATCTTTTATTTCTACATAAAGAAACCGTCAAATAACCGTTACGTAATTGTTTTGGGATTACTTAACAAACATTATTGTTCGAATAAGAAGACCTGCGTTTTTACCGAATTTTCACCAGAGTTGCCATTATGCGAGAATATCACTGCTAAATACTCGTAATTCGACTCGGAATCAAATTCCAGGAAACTTACTGGTTGAAAAGAAGTTTTACTTCTTTTCCCATGAGTTATGTGAACATGAGCCTGTCTTCTTTAAAACAACTCTCTCGAAAGCATCCCTTTCGTCCTTCGTTTTTTACCTAATCCTTCTATGCGAACTAAATTGCCCCACGTTTCTTTATATCTTCCAGGTTTAATTTATTTGACTATGTATGGATGAGCGCTCGAGGGCTATCTGTCTAAGGATGCCTTCGTGGAGGTATTTCTAAGGAAAACTGACTCCTACCAACGTTAGACATGGTACCACTAAAGCACATATGTAGCCAGCCTTTTCGCCAGGATTCGATACCCAACCGAACTACCCGTGTTCAATGGCTTTACTACTCGACCTGCTATTTGGCTCTTCCTCTTGCAGAGATAAAAGTCTGAGATAGCAGCATCAACAATAATGGCAAGATAATTACTTCGATTACTGTTCATAAGTGAATTACTGTTTTGTTTAAGCAAAGATTTTTGGCCTAATTTCATTTATATAGAGGATGGAATAACCAGTCTTTCATCGTGTATATATAAAAGATATTATTTCTGCGGTGGGGTTTTACTTGTATAAGGAGGTATTATGCCAATTAGTCGCATCGAAATAATTCATACCTTTCAAAGTCCAAAGGTTTATAACAAAGCTTTGCGTTCGGCCCAATAGCGACCGAGCGGCAAAAGCCGCTGAAAACTGGTATTTCGCTCCGACGTCCACGTCCCGGCGAACAAGCTGGCTGAACGGGAGTTTTTGTGATTATACAGATGTGTAACGTGGATACGAGCCAGCTTCTCTTAAAAAGACTTCCACGGGGCACTCCACCCTTTCCGCTTAGTGCCTAAGGGCGGAGCAAATAACAGGTAAAAAAGAAAAAAAAGGTTTTGCGTTCGAACTTAAGGCTGTTAATAGTGCTATACGCATAAATGTTTTTGTTTTTGTTCATGAGTAATAACGCTCGGTCTCATCAGTCTGCAACGTAGCTGTACACCTTCAGATTCAGAATATTGTTCGAAAATAAATCAGTACTTTTGTTTGACTTCAGTCCTGTCGAATATATTTGGGATGATTTCGTCATCGAGTTGCTACGTCCTTGTATTCTCCTTGGAGCTTTATGAAGCTAAAATATGCGCTCTAAGAAGTAAGTGTCTGTCCCATACGACTGGTTTCACAGTACTGATTAACTGGCCTCTATTTAATGGTACGGGAAAATGCAGTGTAATAGGAGCTTCGACTAGAGAAACTAAAACAATATTTTAAATCATTACAGAATTTCAGATGGAAAAGACACAGTTTACATTTGTACGTTTCGTACACAGTGTGGCTCTAGCAACAGTTTACTTACTTCTTAAATTTATTCCCAGTTTGACATCAGCAGCACTAATGTATTATTATTTAACTTGCAAAAACAATATGTCATCATAAGTGTTTATGTGCATTTTTATAAGTTCTTTTATCAGTAATAAAAGCTTACTTTAATTTTTACAATTATCTCTTAATTGTGAACTCTGTTGTTAAGATAATATCGTAGATAAGACTGGCACAATAAATTATTATAATTTCGAATCTATCACTGTGCGACAGTATATTCATAACTGTACTGTACTATTTATATAAATAGAAATCATGACATAAATAAGACTGATTTGCATTTTCGAAAAGACATGGGCATACTGTGCATCTTTAAATCAAAATTTATTTCCGGATAATTAACTCTGCAGATGATACTCGTGTCTATTATAATCTACAACAATAAACAAAATAAGTAACACAAAGGTTTCCATTTTTAACATTAAGTAATTAATCTTTCACTGGCAACAATGAATGAAACAGCAACAAAGGAAATATTCTCTTGCACAAAGGGTGAGAGTAAACTGTTAAAATACTTTAAAGCGGATGCATTACGAAGATAAGAGCTATTATCTATTATTCCCACTTTAATTAAAGTTTGTTTCAGAACTCTATGCATTGCTTAAATAGCGACAGCAGCCCTAATTATGTCTCCATTAAATATTTACTTAAGCATATATATATATATGTGTGTGTGTGTGTAATAAAGAAAACGTACAATAATTAAACACAATATATTTTTTTTTTAATTATTTAAATGTATAACTTAAAAATTCACTTTATTGAGAGAAACAGTTTATGATAAACAACAATCGAATCGATAGAAAAAATCTTGCACTGAAATGCATGTTAAGCTAATTCAATATATAATTTTCAACAATATCGAATTTCAGTTATAAGATATTTCTCCCGCCTTCTTTGCATGCCTTCGTAGTGTGGCGGTCTGCACGCTGGGCGCGTATTCCAGAGGTCTGTGATTCGACTCCAGGAGAAGGCGTTGTTCATCTTTCAGCACTCCTGCTTCCAAAAAATACCTATTGTCTCTACAGTGGCGCCCAAACAAAATAGGATAGTGGATGATGATTCTCCGCATCCCAGGATTTGGCGATTGGGTCTCCTAAAACCTCAGTCGCTTTTTAAAAGGGGAGTATATAAGGTATTTTATCCGCCTTCTTAGCGTGCCTTCGTGGTGTAGTGGTCTGTATGCTGGGCGCGTATTTCAGAGGTCCGTGGTTCGATTCCCGGTGAAGGTGTGGCTCTCTTTCATGGCTCCCGCTTCCAAAAAATACCTAATGTCCCTACAATGTAAAACATCGGTTGAGGTATGGGAGTCTCAAACTTTGCGAGAAATTTTTTAGAATAATTTAATAACAACATATAGTTATTTTATAGTAAATACATATCTGAATGTAAATTACAGGAATGCACTTCAGAAAAATATATGTTGAAATAAACGTAAATGTAACAGGTATTTTACTAAAACTTACTGATATTTTATTCCTCAGCAAGGAAAGTCAAGAGAAATTTCTCATAAAGTAACATTTTTCTCTTAGCTAAAATTATTTCATTAATTTTATTTATAAATTATGCTTTTTAGAAGCATTTTAATGGGAAAAGAAGTGAAAACGATGCAATACCTTTAAAGTGCAATTATATTACAAATCTCTTTTCCATTTATTTTGCGTAACATTTTTTATACTCAGTTGAAAAGTTATTTGAAAACTTTTTCCATCAATCAGGTGCTCATAAAACGTAATTGCCAGATATCAATGAAAACATCTCTCTTTTATCGCTTTCTGGTATAAAATCATTTATCAAATATTTACCTTTACGCAGAACTTTTTTTTCTCTTTCAGATACTCCACCTGATGATTTCAAGACTATCGTTAGCAGTTCTCACGTTCACATTCTGGTTAATGGTTCTTTGAACTTCAGAAGTGTAGAACTATCAGATGAAGGCTTTTATCTTTGTGAAGCAAACAACGGCGTAGGCGCTGGCTTGAGTACCGTAGTCAGATTCACTGTTCATAGTAAGTCTTATCTATTATGAAGTTATTATTATACAATACACAACATAAATTTCTACTTTGTATAGTACAATTTAACATTAAAAGCTGTGCTACAATAAATGAATTCCTTACTCATTACTTTTAAATATTGAATGTTATTAAAATTAGGAATTATTCTTGTAGAATATTCTTAGAGGATGGAACTTTTAAAATTCTAATTAATGGGAATAGCTGATAAATTATATAAAACTTAATATTTTGATAAGTATTGCTGCTTATTTGTAGAACCATTTGATGCTGCAGAGTTTAATTTCTTGTTTTGTTGAATACATGCAAGCATTTTACAATGTTTTCAAGTTTTCGTGGGTAAGTGGTGTAAGCAGTTTTGCACTGCTTAAATATGATATATGTATTTTAAATCTGAAAACACGAGAGGTATAATGATTAAGTTAAAAACTCATACTTTGTTATAATTATTACTAGAATTTTAAAAGCTCCCATAATTTCCTTTGACATAGCTAATTTAAATGTATTTTATCTTTATTTGCGTAAATGTTTCCGACATTTTCCGCACGCGGAAATGAACGGCATAAGCTAAAACTCAAATAATAAATTTAAAATACCTTCAGTTCAGACTATTTGCATTTTCATGAAAATAACAATGAATTTTCCTTAACAAGATTTTCACTAAGCAATGCTTGGTTGCATCGATGGTAAGAAATTTGTTTTTAAATATTTCCTTTTAACCAAAACAGTTATTGTGAAGTTCCTTCCCCTGATGAAAGAGGAAGAACGGAAGTGACTTACCCCGGAAAAACCGGTCGAGGCAGGCTGGTGGGGGGAAGAAAGACTGGAAGGAGAGGGCACTGGGAGTTGGACCGGCGAGCATGCCGTGTGAGAACGTAGAGAAAAGAAATATGTTTTAATTTCTTTTGCGCGCCTTGTATATATATATATTGTATATAGTTTATGTTACAGTGTACTCGTTGTATGGTGTATCCATAGTGCAGTTTGTGTAATAAATTAGTGAAGAAAATGTCAAAGCGGACAACTGTTATTTTCCCACTATGGTAAGTTTACACAGAAGAACCCACCTCGTGTTTGAACGAGCGCGAGGCATGACAAATGGCGCAGTCGACAGGATAGTGGGAAAAATGAAATCACTAAAAATACGAAGGAAGTAAGATCGTAAAAAGTGATTTGAGTGAACGTGGTTTAAATGAAGGAAATAATTCACGAAAGCAAGGAAGATGACAAAAGATGGTCATGAAAGACGGAAAGTGGCGCGCGTAAGCCTACACGTGCAAATAAACGAAAGGGTGTATGAAACCTCGTCGTGTGAAAAGTGATCATCAGTATTACCGTGGTGATATTATTAATTGAAATGTTCGTGCAGTGTTGAAACAGTGGATGGTAAAAGTGATCATCAGTATTACCGTGGTGATATTATTAATTGAAATGTTCGTGCAGTGTTGAAACAGTGGCTGGTAAAAGTGATCATCCGTATTACCGTGGTGATATTATTAATTGAAATGTTCGTGCAGTGTTGAAACAGTGTAAAAGTGATCATCCGTATTACCGTGGTGATATTATTAATTGAAATGTTCGTGCAGTGTTGAAACAGTGGATGGTAAAAGTGATCATCAGTATTACCGTGGTGATATTATTAAGTGAAGTGTTATGCAGCGCGATGAGGAAATTGTACAGAATTGAGCACAACTCGTCATTTTCTACTATCGGGATCAAAGGTAAGTCCCTCTTAATTTCTTGGGAAGCACAATATATAAATGAAGAGAGCTCCCTCCCTATAATTACTATAGTAACGGAGAAAATTAAAATTGTGTTAATGTCGGTTAATAACATGATGAGAATGCCAGGCGTTAAAGCCAGTAGACACTTAGAAAGTATATTTTATATGCAAATAAGGAATTATGATTAATTTTGTTATTAAGGAGATAATGTATGCTAAATGAATGTTAAAATAGTTCAAAAATATGTCAGCAGTAATTTCGAAACATTTAATTGTGTGCTCATGTTACTAATTAAGGTAGAAATTATCTATTTTTGTTGTTGCCGTGTTTTGGCAAAATGTTTTAGTCATTAAAGTTAATAGGTTGATTAAAAATTAATTAGTTTAATGATTTGAGAACAATAAGTAAATGTTTGTTTCATTTCCAGAATATGTAAGGTATTACGGCGTAAGGCCAAAGTATTCAGAACTATTTTTTTGTACTAATTCAAAAGCTAATATAATTTTTGGTATTTATGTGTTAACAATATATGGTGAAATATATATGTTAATAGTAATATATGAGAAAGGTATTCATGATTGTGTTCACTAATGATAATGTTTGCTAAATGAATAATGGTAGTATTCAGTAGTAGTGAAATATGTATGTTTGCCTGTAAAATTAAGTGTTATTTATGTGTTGTATGGGTAAAGCTGTAAAACGAAATATCAGAAGTTAATATGGGTCCTAAAAGGAGAAATAGGGTGTCAGAAGAATCTGATGAAATTATTAAGAACATGCAGGCTCAAATTAAGTTAAAGGAAATGGAGCTGCAGCTAGAAAAGTGTAAGTTAGAGGCAGATGCGGCTAAAGACCGATTAAAAGAGATGGAATTTCGGGAAAGACAATTAGAGAGAGAACACGAGATAAAAATTAAAGAATTAGAAATTCAGAGTAGGAAAATAGATAAAGGAGGAAATAAATCGGGCTCAGAGGATGAAGGGGTTTCAGATGCTGAGAGCAAGGGAAATGATTTCTTGAAACATTTAAAAATAATGAAAGGAGTTATGATTGACCCGCCATCTAAAGCTGAGGAATGGCCGTTCTTTTTCCATCATGCGGAAATGATGTTTAATCTCTATAAAATTCCTGAAGAACATAAGGGGAAAATTATTTTGCAGAGTTTAAAAACTAAAGTTAAAAGTTTGATTTCAACTCTGGGTGAAAGGGATTTGGATAATTATATTAAGATTAAAGATACAGTATTAAAAGAATTCCAGATTACCCCATTGCAACATAAAAAGAATTTAGAAAAATGTGTAAAAAGATATGAGGAAACGTATACTCAGCACATAGCGAGGGTTGAGGCAGCACTTGATTTCTACTTAGAATCCAGAAAAGTTAAGACTTTTGATAAATTAAGAGAACTATTGATTGTCGATCAAGTAAAAGATCAATTACCCGCAAATGTTAAGGCGCATATACTGTTAAAAGAGGTAGAAAACTGGTTATCTCCGTCAGAGCTTGCAAATGATTTGGATAATTACGTTGCAGCAATGCCTAGAAATTACAATACGAGTGCTCAGGAAGTAAATAAAGTGGGACCAAAACAGGAACCGATAAGACAAGGGGAAAAATTAGGACGACCAAATAAGAGTAAGGGGAATTTCAGTTCTGATTACAGGGTTGATAAGGAGAAGTACAAAGGGGTAAAAACTTTAGAACCTCAAGGAATGATGCAGGCAAATAAGAAAGTTCTAAAATGTTTTCAGTGTCAGGGTGAAGGACACATAAAGCGTTTTTGTCCAGCGATAAACCTGATAGCGAAACCCAAGAGAGGAAGCGAAAAAGAGGATACGGATGAGGTGGAAGCAAAGGGATTAAATAAAATATGCGTAGGGTTGAAGTTAGCTAACTATGCAGAAGAAATTCCGTTAACTAGGGCAAGTGGGGAATTACCTAGGATAGAACTGCAGATAGGCAACGCTAGATTCAAAGGAGTGATTGATAGCGGAGCAGAAGTTACTGTAATCCGGAAATCGGTAGTTCCACAGAAATATTTGGAGTCTGGAGGGAAGATATGGTTACAACCCGCCGTGGGACCCCAGGTAGAAGCCCAATTAGTTACAGTACCTATCAGTATCTGGTCAGGAGAAGAGGAGGTACAGCCTTATGTAAACGTTCATGCAGCAGTAGTGCATAATTTGAACGAGGAGGCGCTGGTGACACCTCGAGATTTTAGACTTCTCAGGGAACAAGGAGATATTTATTGGGGAGAAAATAAGGAAGAAAAACTAGTATTGGGAGTTGGTCAGGTATCGAGTAACTTGGACGGAAAGGAATCGACAGAAAAAGCCAGTCACGAGGTCGAAGGTGAAACGGAAATAGCTCGTACTACACCGTTGGTAAGGAGTAAAGATGAGGGGGAAGTAGAAGTGGGAGGCAGTGAGCAAGTGTCAGCTGATAACCCACCCTTATCGCAAACTCAACGTTTTAGACAGGAGCAAGCGGAATGTATTTCGCTGAAAAGCGCGTTCATGGATGCACGTAATAACAAGAATGGGTATTGGCTGGAGTCAGGAATTTTGTACCATACGGGAAGTGTCAATGGGCAGCGATGTAGTCAGTTAGT